GGTCTGCTCCTACAGCGGCAGTAGAGGAGGCGGTGGAGGACGTCTCTTGAGAACAAGAAGAGCCTGGTTTGCTCTCTCCAGTGCTCAATGTCAAGTCAATGCTACCTGACCTGATGGCCTCATCCAAATCTGTGAGTGGAGCTAGAGGAATCTTTTTCCTTGCCATCTACTGAAACACTTCTTCAACGATTCTTGCTTTTTTCTTTACATCCTCCCACTGGGGTGTCTCATCTTTTTACTGCCATTTAGACCTTTTCTCTCCCCCTCTTTATTGCAGTGTGTTGTTCTGTGAGGAAGGATTTTATTGGCCAAAGTCTTCTTGGTTTCCCTGTCCTTTGGTAGCAGCAGTGACACTGTAGGATCCTCCATCCAGAGAGGTTTGTATGGCCACAGTGGACTGCAGTGTCTTGACAGACTCATCAATCACCCGGGAGACGAACATTTTTGCTACCGTGGTGGAAGAAGCAGAAGAAGATATACTGGAGGCAGGTCTTGTGCTCTCGTCTAACCTTGTGAAAAGTCTGGAGCTTGTTTCTGTCTCCGCAATCCAGTCTGAACAGGAACACCAAGAAGAGGAATACAATGAAAGGGCATCCTGGCTGATTGTAGGGGTGCAAAGGCAGGTGACCTCCTCATTGTCTAGAATGTCATCACATTGCATCAGCTCAAACTCTGCATCAGTTTTGTTTTCTGAGGGAACAGGGATAATTGCGTTTATGAGGAAAGAAGGTGATTCAGAGATTTTGTCCATGTTCTCTCCTTCTTTATTGATGTTACTTGAATCAAAAATCCAGAGAAAAATATAAACATTGGAAAACTGTAAGCTGTGCTAAAAGAGCGCTGAAACTATTTACTTAACATAAACTATACTCAGTAATAATTCATAAACATGAAGTCTGTAATTATAATTGTCTTTAAAAACTCCACTTAAGCTAAGTTTAGATAAACAGAGCTAAGCTAAACTAATGTAACTCAGTTTAACGTAACCCAACCTAACATAGTCTGTAATAATCTTGGATTTCATATTTTCTGAAGCTGTTCTCCTTTCCTCTGATGAAGAATCATCTGTCCCTTCTTCCTACATTCTCTGTTTGAAAACAATGAAGCAGCCTTTTGGAACAAAGCACCATTGAACAGGTTATCCTGACATTTTAATTGGGTCCCAAGGTTACTTAGGAGCAAGTAGGCTGGAAGTCTTTGACAACGATGCACCAGCAGAAATTAATAATCAATTCAAATAAAGGAAAAGTCTGAGGAATAATCATGAAAACTACACACAGACACACACAACCACTCTGTGCTTTGCATATAAACCCCAGAGGGAAAAAAGCTGACGCTATGGTAGTGGATGTGAGAAAAAAAAGGTGGCTCTGGTTTTTTCACCTTATTTTTGTGTATTCAGTGGTTGCATAGCAGTGTGTTTTCTATAGGTCACACAGGACAATAGTGAGGCCATGAACAGAGCACCTATTGTAATGGGGCTCACCAGGGGGACTTTGTCTTTGTCAACAGTGTGGAATGTCCCAGGGGGCTAACAGGGGCAGGACAGGCTAGGCCAGGGGGCTGCACTGCTCACCTCCTCTACACTGGAACAGTCCCTCTAGCTCTTAGAAAAAGAGCTTGAACCTCTACATCCAGAAGGAGTGGGAGGCAGAGAGAAGACTTAGGGAAAGATGACAGGGGAAAGACCAGGCTAGCTGAAGCTGCATCAGATGCGCTCTGCTGGTGACTGAGTGGCCTGAAAACGCCATCATGAGCTCCCATGTGGGGGCCTCTGGGTTTGATGGCTCAGGCAGATTTGGAGAACGTGGAACTGAGGAAGTCAGTGAAGAGAACAGTAACACTGAAACTTTCAACCCGTGTTTAAAGGCAGTGCGACCGAGGCTGAGGAGTGCAGATCCAGCTGGAGAGGGAAGGTCAAGCAGTGTGGACCAGCTGGTGAGACCTGCCCTGCCAGGGAGGAAAGCCCACAAGAAGACCTGCAGCAAGGACAACAGAGGAAGATGGAGAGAGGGAAACCAAGACAGGGATGAGGAGAGACAGAATGTTGAGCATGTTGGAGGCAGGGAAAAAGGAAGACAAAGTCAGAGTAAAACTGGAAGAACTGAGACACATAGAGATGGAGCCCAAGACAGAAAGAGAAGAGGAAGCCCTGAAAGTTTGTCTAGCAGTAATTCTGACATCCAGTTAAACAGCACTTTGGAAGTTGGAGAAGGATCAAACAACTTGCAAAGAGGACAACCGTGTCCTCATCACAGTATTGGCTGCACCCGGACCATCGCTGCCAATTTAAACCCCCTATCTCCCTGGCCAGCAATGAGGTCCATGTCTTCTGCTCTCCCTCAGCCTCCCATCCAAACCAGATCACCTCAAAGACTCTCATCCAAGACAGCTACAGGAGACCTGCACCGCTACTCTTTCAGTTTATCCAGAGAACCAGATCCATTATGGGTGGACGTGACAACAGCGGCAGCAACTAGACGATCATCGCAAAGCCATCCTGCTCAGACACACATCCCGTCTCTCACCAGCTCAGAGCTAGGAGAAGAAGAAGTGGAGGTGGAGGACGAGGAAGAAGAGGAGGATGTGGAAGATGGCGAGGAAGGAGGCAGTGGTGTGATGGAGGTGATGAGTCAAACCATGACCTCAGCAGTGGTGCCGCCTTGTGTTCCTTTTGGGGAGAGGATGATGAGTAAAAGAGAGAAGAACAGGATTAAGTGTCTGAGGAGGAGGCAGAGGAGAAGGGAGAGGTGGAGACAAAGTCAACTGCAGGAGAGCAGACAGGTGAATGACACAATTAACTGAGTCTTCAATATGATATGCTTGATACTGAAGTCACTGTTCTTTCACCAAATGTTTTGCCAGTGGTTTTAGGATTAAGATTAGGCAAGTACCTCATATGTTTGTGTGCCACAAGCCGAACCACAGAGCCGGTGATGAAATCACTGAATAATTTATTACTATGTTAATATGATGCAAATCATTCATTATCTATTGAAGCAATGTGATTTTTTTATGTGGCCACCGTAAAACTGGGAGAAGTAGGGGCAATTATCTACCACTGAATGACACACTTTTTACCAAATCAGACATTTCCCTCTTCATGTGCAGTCTTCATCGGTTTGCATTAGCAGGATACTTTACATTGAATAAGAAAAAAACATACTGTTTTATTTTGGTAAACAAAACAAAAGCATCAAGTGATGCCTTCAGATTTATAGTGAGGCACTTCAGACTTAAATTACCTAATTGATTCACTTAAAGGTCTATTTACATTTTAGGATGGGAGGCTAATGTAAAAAAGCAAGTAAGAGTTTTGTGTGCATGTGTGTCTCTGGCACAAAATAGGCACAAAAATCAGACTAATATTGCTGGGTTGTGTCCACTTTTTACTGTATGTATTTATGCTTTGTGTGGCTACACGTGTATTTATGTGTATGTGTCTGTGTGTGTTCATTTCATCTAGAGTCTGACTCTCGACAGTCCTATCAGCACCCAGCTCATCTCAATAGCCATTGTCTGTGCGGTTTAAAGTAGGGTTACATCTGAATTAGTTGCATGATGAGGCTTGGGCAGAGAGCCCTTCAAAACCAGCCAGACAAAAGAGCATATTCTGATTTTATTGGCTGCTGCAGATCTGCAGTCACGTTGGTGGATTAAAATTATTCTGACTGCTGAATTAGAGACAGCTGAATAGAATTAGTTGCTTTGAAACAGAGAATATCCATTTCCTAATTCCATATCCCCCTGCTGATTATATTGTTTTTAGTTTAGATATTCCTCTCTCTCTTGTATTGGAGTTGGTGTGGTAATGTTTGAGCATGATGTATAAATTCATAATGCACACTCTATCTGACTGTAGCAGATAGAATTGTGTCCTTTATAATATGGTGGATTATTATGTGGGAAAGAATAGATGTCATATGCCAACATGAGGAAAATATAAGTTTGTTTTTATGCTTTTTTTTTTCTTTAAAGACATAGATATTTTTGGTTAATCAGTTCTCATTCAGTTTTCTGCCGAAAGTTAAATGTCTGATGTGTGTATGTTCACTACATAGCTCAAGTCAAGAGGTGATTAGCTGAGCTATGTATGTAATGCGAGTTGTGGTTTTACGGGCATTGCGTGCGCTTTCCTGGTGACCAGTGCAGTGTTGCCAATTTAGTGATTTTCTTGCTAGATTTAGTGACTTTTAAGCCCTAGCAACTTCTGGGCAGACTAGCTCCTCTCCCTTGAAGAGAGTCACCTGTATTTGTCATTGAATGTGCTCTAATGTGGCTGTGGCTTTCTGAACTGACAACAGCACATTCAGCCGACCAATCAGAAGTCAGACAGAAATACATTAGCAGGGAATGTGCGTACATCCCAAACAGTCACTGATCCTCATTGTTTTTCTCGCTTTTGTTTTTGTTTTAAACATTTTAACTTGACTGCTCAAGTTTAGTTTTCTCTCAAAATTTTGAGTTTACAAGAGTGGCTTTACTCCAGTGTCTGGATCGTCTTTATTCATAACATAGTTCGACAGTCTATACAACAGCCTTCATAAAAAGTTTTTGAATTTGGACCTAGATTCAGATGCATATTGATGAATGATGTCAGCTTGAAAAATAAAAATCGCTAATGATAAAGTTAGAGTCAAGTAAACTTGCCATATTTTTTCAAATCTTTGATTTAAATAATTAAATTATGATGTCACAGACATGTAAATTAGCATGTTAAGTAATCTAGCGTCCTCTAGGAACTTTTCAAGCAGGCTTAAGATACTTTCCATTGAATATCATTGGGCACCTGGACCTCTCAGAGTGAAGGCAAGACTCTAGGAAGTCATCAGCTTGTGAACTTGCCATCTTAATATTTATGTTTGTGTATGAAGGAACAAACAATATAGAAAATATTCATTTTTGAGCTTGAATGGTGCTGGTAGCCATATACTTGCATCCCCCTGCTTCCTGTGTTTATGCTAAGCTAAGCGCCATACTTAATGCACATGCATGAGAGTAGTATGGATCTCTCCACCTGACTCTCTAAGAGCGAAGTGAAAAACCATGATTATTAAGTAATAACTATACATGCTCTTTTCTCAGCTCTGTCCAGCTTTGCACTTTTCACTCTCATTTGGGGGCTGCTCACTACAGCCACAGCATTTCTGCTATTAGCCATGGAAGTTCAGACTTTACACCTGTCAACGGCAACTGCACAATAGTTTTTCTTATTCACCCTCGCTTTTGACCTGGTTTATATTTTGGATATGTATTATACAATGTGGGTTTCCAAGTATGATGCTTTATTCATTTTCCCCTACAGTTGCATATTTCCTGTAACTGTACTGCCTATATACCTTCCTGGTTGGTGGAAAAGGTAGTTTAACCCCTCTGATAGAATTTCATTCTGAGTACAATGTATTGCGGTACATTTTGCATACAGTATACAGTAGGCCAAAGGTTAGAGCGGGTGTTATTGTCATCCAGTTTCCCACAGGAAGTGGTTTCATCCTGTGTGATGGAGAGCCAATTAGTGCTGGAACGTTCAGTTACTTTATCCAGCTGCTCTGATAGCTGCTGCACAGAAGCTGAAATGTGATTTCAGTTGATAATGTAGAAACATTTAGTGCCATTGTAAAATAAATGCTGAATTCTATCAAATTTACACAAACAACAATTTCTTTCAATTGCAGTAATTCTATTAGTCAAATCAAGCTAATAGAAGTAACAGTAGTAACCAGAAGACGTTTGTTCAATTTCTATTAAAAGATTTGTATTCACTGTTTAAACTTTTACTTCCCTTTGATAAAGAACGGGTGTATTTATTTATTTATGTACACACTTACCAATGTAACCAAGACAAAGTTGCCATGTTACATTGAATGTTGCCAGGGGAGAGCCTAGGTGGCCATGATTACTTGGAAGTTGTGTGCTCTGTGTTCTCTCCTCTGTGTTAATGTCACACCTTGGGAGACAGGGCTGGTGCAATAGGGAAGTCCCTGGAGCTCCCCCTGGGTGAGAAAGTGGTAATTACTCCGGAAGCACCCTTGGGTTTTTTCAAGACTGGAGCTGCAGACACCAATCCTCAGGGGTCTAAAATAGGGCTTGGTACGTCTTCTCATATCGTTTATAGCTAAAAATTTGGAAATGGGAAGCTGAGTATGGACTCAGGTGCAGAGGCACTTGAGAGGGAGGGCAGGCGGACTGCTGAGGGCATTAGAGAGATTTGAGCAGTGGGGGTGGCAGATATTGTATGAAACGAAAGGATACAAGCTAGATTAAAAGAAAACAGTATTGGCCATCTGCAGTGTAAACAAAATGTTTTATCTGTGCATGCATGACTCATACTGTGCCTTATGGAAAACCTACAATAGATTCCTCAAGAATAGCAATAGCAAAGTGAATGGAGTTTGAATTAGGGCCAGCGTCAGGGTCAGATTGCTCTCTCTAACAAACAATGTTTATGCTTTACAGTGATAAGTGAGAAAATTTAAGTAGGTAGACGTTTCACTCTGCTGAACTCACACCTGACACCCTCATGTCCTCACACGTTATTATGCTGTGCAGGTGGGTGTCACAGACGTTTGCACCAATCAAATAGGATGTATTAAAAGTACGGAACAGTATTTTAAACTGAATGTTAAGAGGACCGCAAAAGAATACATTTTCACTTATATTTATGGCCAGCTGGTGCAATGACATCTTGTAGTGATGATGTATGTGGGTGGTTGGGTGGGGGGGTGCCAGATTTCTGGATTGTTCACCTTTGTTCTTTTATTTGATGCAGAGCAAGATTGTCCATTTTTAATCTGTCTGTCTGAGAAGCTTATTCCATGTAGACATGACCTCGCAGAAATGGGTTTGACATCATGATTTTACATTTTAGAGATAAAAGAAGAGATAGGCATTTGAATAAAATAAAAAAATAATCATAGTGTTTTCTTTCACATTTTAAATAGTATCAGAATTGTCTATTTTGGTACCAATCTAATTTGAATCTCATGAAAAACACATACCATAACTAACTACATACTGTATACAAAGGCTTGCAGAGGAACATGTGCATGTTTGCCTGTATACACATAAATATTTATATGCATGAGGAGGAGGTCTACAAGAAAAGATACACATGGGTGCTGATATACTGTATCAACCTTCCACAATCTTTTCGATTCTTCATTGTTTAAAAGTGTCTTCCCCCACTCTGCCTTTCCTCCTCTTCCAGAGTTCAACAGGGAACCCATCCAGCAGCAGCAGCGAGGATGAGGAGGACGTGAGCACCGGGGACAGAGAAGGCTACATCTGTGCAGTGTGTTTGGATGTATACTTCAGCCCTTACATGTGTCATCCCTGCAACCACATCTTCTGTGAACCCTGTCTGAGGACACTGGCTAAGAACAGCCCCACCAACACCCCCTGCCCCCTCTGCAGAACAATCATCACACATGTCTTCTTCCAGAAGGGTGAGCTAATGGGCACAAATCACTTACTGTACAATTCACATGATTTTAAATACTTATCAGCTCTACTCATGACTCTACTCATCGCTCAAGATTGAATAATATGAGATGAATGAAAGAAAATTGCAAAACATGTCAAAGAATAATCCATGACAGTACAATATAAGAACAAATGTGTACAGACACAGGATTACATGTATATTTGCAGCTATATGTGTATTCATATGTCTGTTGGCTGTTGCACAGATGACATCTAAGCTGCAGATTGTTCAGAGGGCCCAGCTGCTGATGTCCCATAGGGAAGAGAGTAGACCTTTAGTTCAGCTCTGACCAGATGAGTCACCCAGACCGAGAAGACAAAATCAAACACACTTTTATTTAGTGCTTTCTGATGGAAATAAGAAGCAGTATTCCTTCTGGTTGGACAATACATTGTGATATGACAAAACATATGTTTTTAGCAAGGCCAGTGGACAATAACACCCCAATCTGAAATGTATTGTCTTTACACAACATGTTAAACAATGTAATGTTATAATAATGTTTTTGCACATATGCTTAGTGAAATGTGTACTTTATGTAACCTTGTGATCACTGCACACTGATTAGACAGGACATAGTCTGATTTGGACAAAGCTATGAATAAGTAATGGAGTTCTGTGATTCACTTTGGCCTACTTCTAGATGTATGTAGGAGAAAGTGAGCGGCAGGGACACTGCTGTGGCCATAAAAAGGCAGAGTGGCCATGGTTATGAGGACTGCAGACACGCTAAGGGCTCTTGTGGGTGATTAGGTGACAAGAATTGTAGATTAGATTCTTGTGTTGATTACCAATGCCAAGGTCACACAGAAACAGAACAAGGAGAAAATGAGGGGGAATGGTGATTCTGCATCTGCTGCTTTATTTTGAATGTACCGAATAAATCAAACATAATCTATCCAGGCAATCAAGAAGTGGAGTTGTGAATAAGATGTTCACTTTTGATAATATTGAGTTTATCTCCTTGTTTCTCTTACAGAGCTCAATCAAACAGCAAGGACATTCTTCCCAAAGGAATACCTTTCCCGGAAACAGAACTTCCAGAAAGCCAGTTGTGCTAAGTGGCCTCTGCCGAGCTGCCGAAAACTCTTCCGTATCTTTGGAGGCAAGTTTTTAATTCCACTGTAAGACTTTGTCAAGACTTGTGACAGGGTAACACTTATACCTGCAAACTATTTATCTTAAAAGTACCTCAAGGCTTCTACAGTATATTAAACACAATGCTTCAACTTTTTAGCATACAGAATACAAATTTAATTGGCTACCTTTCCCGCACACATGCAATTTCTTACTATACACAGAATTAATAGAGAATATCCTGAGGGGAAAGCATTGATGAACCATTTCTCAGACTTTCTAATCTAGTTACAAATACTAATAATGTACCACTAATGTAAGAAATATAATATCCAAAATCTTTCTTTGACTATTGAACACTCAATCTTCATGGCAACAATTATTAAAATAGGATTCATATCACCTGAGCTACACAGCTTCAAGGAAAACATTTACACAACATGGATAGAATGTGAACTTCTCTTCATGTCTTTGAACCCCCTAAATTCCCAAAAATATAACTGAGGACGTGGACTTTCTCGACATTTTTATGCGTGTTTCCACCATAAAAACCTGTCACCATTAGAATCCAATTAGAATCCATTAGAGTCAAGTAAGAATAAAACTGCTATAGAAATATTTTACAACCAAGTTTCATAGATTTTGTCACTTTGATGAAAACCACCAGATGAAATACCTAATTTGTCCCCCAAACCAGGCTTCCAGAGGCAGTCCAGTCCCATTGCTAGACGCCAGTTCCCCCATGGAGGAGGCTACCGTCTGGATGCTATGGACTTTGAGGATGACTCTCGAGGCTGGCATTTTGACATGGATATGGTCATCATCTACATCTACTCAGTCAACTGGGTTATTGGATTCTTCATATTCTGCTTCCTTTGCTACCTTTTCTTCCCTTCTTTTTGACAGTCAACAACAACAACAGTGTGCCAGCTTGTTGTCTTTCATGAATAAATGATTGAAACAGGAAATTGTAAGGATGTTTTGGAATTCAGTAGTTTCTGTTCTCTGTCTCCACATGATGCAAATGTAATGTGGGTTGCACAATATGCCCTGTATGGAGGGGAGTTTATATAGCAGCTCCAAGAACATAACATTTCAGTACTACCACAGGTATTGCATATTCCCATGATAATAAAACACAGAGGAATAACATGAGTGAGCTCTTTTTGGGTTGACTTTCATGTTTATGCATCCTCAGAAAACTTAATTAAATGAAAGATTTGCTCTGGTATGGGTTGAGACCATTTGTTTTATGAACCTTTCTGTTCCAATTTGCCACCATACACCATATCCTTGCTACTAAACCTTTTTAATTGGCACTTGCATTAAACTATGGAGTATGTCTTGCTAGACGTTTTCATTTGCTGTTTTTTTTTTCACTGAGAAGGAATTGTGTGTTTTGTTTGTTCTTAAGCACCCCCTGGAGGGAATAAATGTTTGGTTGTACTAAGTCACTGTACACACAAAAACACATACATACATACATACATGTATGTAGATCTGACTTGAAATTTAATTAGTAAATTTTAAGTGATTTCTATTTTTGGTAATGAAATCATGCATTACAGCCAAATAAATAGCTTTTTTCCTGATACAGTTTTATACCAAATATGCAATTTCTTAACTTTCATTTTCGGTAGTATGTGGTGGCTTTTAAATCTCTACGTATGCCTAATGCAAATATTGTTCTCTGCTTGGCACAACTGTTCAATAATAATAAATTGGAAGCTATTTATAGGCTCAGTTGACAATGAGTATTTTAATATAAACAATTAATCCCATCTAGCTGTCAATAATATATCACAATTCTGTTGATAAATCATGACAATTGTTAATGAGGAGCTAATTTACACATTACTTACATACATTTGTTAAATATTAATACATAATTTATGATATCATGAATCATATGTAAGTTATTTGTAAATAGTTTTAAGTAGGTATTATTAAATCAGTTGTAAGTGAACTAAAAATATATGTTATTGTTATTATTTGTCTTCTATTTACATTCATTTTCTGTGTTTAAATATGGTACAAAGTGTGTTGTTGTTGTCTCTTCTAAGAGATCTACACCAAAATCAAACATATGATCACTGCTGAATCTGTTACATTTAAATGCACATAAAATGACACTGTAAGTGCACTGTATGTGTGTGTCTCTTTGTGTTGGAGACTTGCAGCTGTGTGTGTGTGTGTGGGTTTATGTCTAGTACACTTTTGAAAGTCTTCACAATTAAATAGTAATGCAGGTTTAGAAAGAGCACTCACCATACACTGAAATGGACTCCTAATTTATTCAGAAAATCTACCACATAGTTTCCTCTGTGTGGTTGTGAAAAGCAAGGAAGGGCAAATAGTCAGCGGCTGAAATGTTGAAAGAGTAAAGTTTCCTGGGTGATTTTGTTTTTAGAACAACCATAGACAATAAACTGGCTCATTTTGTTTATAAATTACACATTTATACATACTATATTCTTTCTTTGATCCCACAGTGCTCCATTTGTGTGTGTGTGTGTGTGTGTGTGCATGAAAGCTTGCTTCCAATTTGCAATACCATTTTTGCAAGTGGGCCTATTGCAATACCAACTATTGGTAGTACTTGGGATTGGAAAGTATTGGAAATCCCAATTTCCAGTACTTTTTATGTTTATGTATTTATCCATAGTGGATATACCATGCGTTTTTTGGCAAGTAAGATTACCATAAGTAAGTAAAAAAGAACAACTACCAAGCAATATAAGATTTTTAAGCATAATGCTGCCAGACCTCAAAATCGACAATAAAACAGTCCTAAAAACAACCTTAAAAAGATCTTTGCATCACTGTGAATTCTTAAGAAGTAGTAACATAGGCTACACCATACTGTGTGCATACAAGAATATAATATAGTAGAGAGAGAAATAGAGATTCTACATGTAAATATTAGGAATAAACCGTAGATGCAGCGTCAGTAAAGTTTAAAGTCTTTACTGGAATGTTGAACGACTTGTATTGTACTTTACTCTGTGGAGGCAAAAGTGACCAGTGCTTAAATAGCCTACTGCTCAGGGCGGGGGTCTGACTTGATGGGCCCTATTAGTATTCCCGTCCTTTGGGTGCGCAGTGTTGCCAGCCACAGAGCCACGTCAGGCCTGTAGCAACTGCCCGTCTTGTACTGCCTCTCCAAGGTTAGACATAGGCCCGCCCGACGAGCTGGAAGCACTAGAAGGCGCTCAGGCACCGGGAGCCGAGCTGACACCGCGATACCAGGAATTAAGTTTTCTTGAACGTTCAGATTTCCTCCGGCACAGAGGCTTAAAGTGTCGGCTGTACGCTGCGAAATAGTCAGCGGGGACATTGGCAGCGTTATTTCTCTATAAGGAGGTTGTTGTTCGGCTAAGGAAAGATCGTTATCGCCCGTCTTATTGGTGCTTAATGGAAACGCGCAATCATAAAAAATGGTTGCATTTGGAGAATATCCGTGAATGCGATTGTCTCCTTCCGACATCGGTGCGTCAGAGAAGACACCTCAGCTAGCTGGGCTCCGGGTTTTGGGTGTGAGAAGTCTTCACTGTGCACCGTGTGCTGCTGGAGTGAAGGTGACTTGCGCCCCGTCGCAGTCAAGGCAATGCGGAGAGGAGTCGCAGGCGCTCATCCGGTACTTTTCCTGCGCTCTGAGGCTCGTCTGGGAAAATATTTGCTCCGTCTCCCACACTAGAGAGGGGAGGAACGTGAGAAAGAGATAAGCAGAGCAATAACAACAATCGAGGTTCAGCCACAGCCAGTAGTTGGCGAAGGTGAATTGAGCGTGAACGGAGGAGAGAATAAGGTGAGCAGTAAGGTGCAGGGTGGTGAGGTAGGAAAGAGAGAAAGTGGTGGTAGTTTGGGAGGGGGGAAATAAGACAAAACCGTTCTGTATTAGGGCTGTTTTATTAGTGGATGTGTATGCATGAGTTCTGCATCGAATGGGCGCAAAAACCGCCCCAGATCAGCCGGGAACATCTTCCAGATCGGCAAGCCTCCTCACCGAGAGCCACAGAGGAGGGAGAGCACCGAAAGTACCCGCAAAGCCCAGCGCGCCGTGGCCGACTGCAGAATGGTAGGTTTGCGACACGCCAATGCCTGCATGGTGCCTCTAATAAGGAGTGTTATGTTATTATCCTAACCTCTCTTTGTTCTAGGACGGTCGACTATGCCGTGCATGCAGGATGCACAGGCGACAGCTGTTAATAGCTGCAAAAAAAAACCCACTGTAACCCGGTCTGGGAACCTAAAAATAGCGATATGCATTTGTATTGCTTTGTCGGCAGTGAAGCCAAGCAGATCATCTCGGCGTGCAGATTGACTGTGTGATTTGCATTTAGAGAGTGGAAAGCTGCTGGTGATTTTGTGTTGATTACTAAATTGCCCGAATTACAAGATTATCTACGGAGGTGTTCGTGATCATGGCACGCAGGGTCCTGTGTTTTGACAGATGCTGGCAGGAATGATCATATGTACAGCCTGCTTCACCCTTTCATACATCAGTGAACGTCATGGAGCCTCGCTGTTCGTATACAGGAGTACAAGCAGGATGCTATGCAGGAGTTGCACAAAATGAACGAAATCTTTGTGCCCCAATCTCCAGCTCTGAGGTTGTGCAAACAACCAAACTTAGCATAATGGGACCTCCGTCAATAAAAAAAAATCAATCCATTCATCATGCGCTCTGACTTTGCGGAATATTTTAATGGCTAAGATTCACTTTTTTTTTTTTTTTCTTAATCACACGTTTCTCTCAGAGATCAGTGGGTTTTTGTCATCGCATATGTGCAAGGTGGCAATTTTTAGAGTACTACTTCTTTTGAAGCCTACCACCATGCACCTGCACTGGCAGATTATTTGCCCCAGTGCGAGGGGGGGGGGGGGGTAAAAAACAATAGCAAGGCTGGATATAGTGCTGCTCAGCATTTCCTTCTTGCCTGACACGTTTTCATGTTGACAAGTCAATATGCAGGGCCATGGATTAAAGGTATTCCACTGCAATGACCAGGACAGGACGTTTGTTATGCTTGTGTGGTGCTTGCTTGACGGGGTCATTCGGGGAATAACTTATTTTTATGTTTTATTTCATTTCATTGTAACAGATCGTCCAAGAATTCAATACACTTGTGGCTCTGTACCGTGAACTGGTCATCTCCATTGGCGAAATCACTGTCGACTGTCCCTCTTTACGGGCCGAAATGCTGAAGACCCGAACTAAAGGCTGTGAAATGGCGAGAGCGGCACACCACAGTCTCTCCTTGATATCGGGGTGAGTTGGCACAGACGCTGTCCATGGTGCTGAACATTAGTGCCTAAGAGCTCTCCTTGGCTCTCAAAGTGTAAACCGCACCAAATGGGGCGTTGTGCAACACCACTGCGCCTAAAGTTGTAAAGTATCTAATTGTATCTCTCAATTTGCATAAGTATCACAATTTGTAGGCACATGTATACTTTGAGCCCGCTCCTCCTCTACTTCAAAGAAATCATCAGCAAGTGTCTGCTCCATTAGTGTGAAACCAGTGAGCTCGGAGTGGGGAAAGAGTTTAGGGGAAAAAATAACGAGAGGTCAGCTTTTAAAAACCATGATGTCTCTAATTGCTAACGGGACAGCTTTACCAGGAAGCAACTACAACAACATAGTGTAACTGACCACTTACCATTAGCTTGGGCCTAAAACGTTAATGCATGAAGTGGAATGCTTCCCAGGGCGAATATCTGAGATAATAGTATCAATATAGTGGAGCCAATGACTTCTGCATTGTTGATTACAATGTATTGTGAGAGTGGCTGTGTGTGTGTTTCTGTGTGTATTTTGTTGGTTGTGTCTCTGTTATGGCCATTTAGATACTATTGAACATTTAGATACTAGCTTCCTGGATGTTAATGTTTATTAGAGTGCA